GGCGGGGCTGCGGCCGGGGCGGCCCAGGCCTGCGCGTCCCACTCCAGGGCCCGGTGGCTGCTCAGCCTGCGGTCCGCACGCCGGGAACCACGCCGGGGAGGGGCCGGGGGACTCTGGGGACTGGGGGTGCGCGTGCTCGAGCTGACCCAGCTGGGGCCACCGGGTTTGTGCGGGGATCCGGATTCGGATCCACAGCGACCGGACGGAAACCAGTACTGGGTTTCCTTCACTTAATGGTGTCTTTTTCCTGGGTTGTGATTTTTTTCTCCCCCGAACCCTTTTTTTATGGAAGCTAATGCAAAAATAAAAGACAGGAGAACCTCCTCTGTTTTCTGATTGATTTTATTTTTTTGGACACAGTGATTGGACTTTGAGGTCATTTTACTGTCAAGTCAAGGAAGCTGAGATTGAAAAACTATTTTCAGCACTTTCTAATGCCTCTCTACTCCTGGAAGTCTTCCTGAAGTTAATGAGCAAGAATGTTTCGTAGCGCCAAGGACAGCCCTGGGTATTGCCACGGAGAAAGATTCTTCAGTCCTTTTTCTTACTACTATTGAACTGTTTACTGCTTATTTTTTAAAGATCCAAAAATAATAGAAAATTAAATGCAAAGTGATATATGTTTGAATTAGCTTCGTGTTTTATTAATCTTTCTCTCGGCTTCGTCTTTTTTCTTTCTGTAGGCTCTGTTTAAAATGCGGAAGTAAATGAAGACAGGCTTAAGAGCCAGGTACGGAGGTGCATGGCTTTCACTCCAGAACTAGAGAGGCTGAGGCAGGAGGACCGCTGGTAGAAGGCCAGCCTGTGTTCCAAAGGGAGACCCTTGTTGACAAAAACAAAAGGGAAAGGAATCTGTCTCAGAGAGAGAGAGAGAGAGAGAGAGAGAGAGAGAGAGAGAGAGAGAGAGAGAGAGAGAGAATATTGCCCGTTTGGGAAAACAGAATAATTTTATTTCTGACCCCATTCAAGTAGACCTCATTTATTTCAGGCCCTGCATTGTTTAACTTGGTCACTGCTCTATGAATATGCAAATCTGTTTCTGTGTTTTACTGCTCCTGAACCCAGAATACTACCTCCTGCCCATCTTTCAGGAATTAGCAAAGATTTCTGAAATGATAGTCTGTTCCTAATTTCTTCTTTGATTTCTATCTCATAGATTGCCTACGTTTCACATGATGTGTCTTATATTTCACTGTAAATTATACCATCTTTTAGGTTGGACCATGAAAGGCATTATTAAGCCACATTACCAGATGTGTCACTAAAAAGACTCTTTGCTACATGGTCTACGAGGAATGCAAGTTATTAAAACACATTATTTTTCCTGTCTAAGCTCATCGTGACTATTTGAGAGAAAATCTTGGGGTTTCCAGTTTGCAAATTGAACCAGGAAATACTGAATGACACTGTGACTCATAGTTACTCTGGGAGCTTAGGAAACAGGCTCACAAGGCAGGTAGAACCAATGACAGCGACAGAGCTTGGATCACAGCTCAAAACATATCATGTGCCCACGGCTGCTGATATCTTGGCAAAGGGGCCTGACTGCTAGACCCACAGTACCTCCTCAATTGCCATTGACACTGATGTCACTAGAGTCTCTATGCTTCCTTGGCAAACATCCCTACCATTATTGCTATAGAAATATCCTCTGCAGTTCTATCTTGTGGTATCCTATGCTTGGCCCCTTTTACCAAGCAGTATGAAGATTCCCAAAGAAGAGAATTTTCTAAACCTAGAAAATCCATATTGACCCTGATCATCAAAGATGAAGAGGAGGAAAAGGAGGAAGACAATAGGAGAAAAATAATTTAAAGTCCTACTATAGTCAGCCACTTTGAATGTTCAACAGCCACATGCTCTCTCTGCACATACTCAGCCCCACTTTGTCATGAAACACAATTCAGCTATGTCTCAGGTACCTAGGTCTAGAGTCACCAGCTCCCCAAAAGAAAAAATTCTCATTGAAATCTGTGTTCTATGAGTACAATTCTGAATCTGCTACATCTAACTCCTCCTGAAATCCCAGTTTCCCATTAAATGGGACTTTTGAAGAATTCTTTAATGTAGGAATTCCTATTCATTATGAAAACCTTGAAACCAACAAGGTCCAAAACTTTGAGCAAATGGCATCGTACTAAAAGGTGCCAACACTGTCCTTCCTCTCCCATTGTTGGCTGGATGCTTAGTGTGATCACTATTCTCTTAATAGCCTAATGCCACCTAAAAGTGTACAGCAAAGCACAACAGTCCCCTTCAGAGGTGAAGGCCAATTCTCCTAGGGTGCACTATGGCATTTGGTTGTATAATATGTCTGTATATAGTATGTATACATGTCTACATAGTATATATGTCTGAAGAGAGAAATGTTTGGAAGCACAAGTCTGAATCAATTCATGGATGGTTGCAGGTGATTTAGTTGTATTGAAAATACAGAAAGGAATGTTATTGGGTGACTGATGAAAAGGGACCTGAGAGTGATATATGGGTAGAGTTTTCAAAATGATCATGGACTGGGATATTTGTGAATGTGAAACATTCATCAGAGTACAAATATTACAGAGGTGACACAGGAATCAGATAATCAGAATTATGTACTCTAGGATATTTCTTCCTAGCCATCACATCCTTTGTTTACTGGATCCATAAAGTAAGTGGCTATCATAGGATAGAGTTGCTGTACAGGCTCATAAACAAGACATCTCTTCACCAGAGCTGATATGGCTAGTACAACTGTTGCATGCCTAATCAACCCACAGCACAAACCAACAATGTTTCCCTCCTTGTAGCAACGTGCCTGGTATGTGGGATACAAACCAGGCCCCCATCTGGCAGCAGGTTGATTGCATTGGATGTCTGTCCTAATGAACTGCATTGAGATTCATCCTCACTGAAATGCCTGTGCTCCAGATATGAATGTATCTTATCTATTATTAACATTTCTGACAACACTACCAGACACAGAATCACAGAACGTTCTATTCACCATCATGGCATTGTCTATAGTATTACATCTGATCAGGAAACACATTTTACAGCAAAAGGCATCACCATGGCCCCACATGCATGGAATCAACTTCTCATTATATGTTCCATAACCTGAACATTGCAAAGAATGACATGAACATGTGGACTGGCTTAGTCAGGACTGTTCCAGTTCTATGGACGGTTCTATGAATCTGTAGTATATACTTTGCATCAGAATACATTAAGATGATTTGACTTCACAAGGGTAGAACACAGTGGACAACTGATTGGTATCACCTGTTACTATAAACTCTAGTAACACACTAGCATGAGTTTTGGTTTCTGGCCCAGAAGCAAATCATTATTATTATTTGCAGTGTGTATTTTTTGCGTATGTCTCATTGGCCGGAATAGATCACATGACTCTACTAAATCTAAAGAAGATCACAAAGTACAGTCACACCATGTGTTCAGTAGGCGGTGGGTCAAAAATATTTTTAATAGCACAGATGATAGTTATAACCTTTAAGCAGTTAATTCTAGGTACTTACCATGAAGCAAAGACAAGCTAATGCAGGGGTTATGACCTGAAGCCTGTGATTATTAGCCAATTATCTGAAAGTATTCAGTTCTTCACATGAAATTTCTTACTGGCTTTGAGAGCTCAGCCATGTACTTCAAATGATTAACTTCAATTTTCTCATCAGCAAAGTTGAGATAATTAATAATAGATACTTCAAAGGTTACAAAGATCAAAGAAACTAATATACAGGAACTAAATATCTATCTAATCTTAATTGTTTTATTACTTTTCTTACTAGTGTTATTAACATAAGTAGTAGTGGTGGTTGCCATATTTGCTCTGTAATTGCATTTAGATTCCCAAGCAGTGATGTTTTAGTTCCTGTAATGCAGCTTTGGCTAGAATACATGTGTTAAAGAGGTTTTCCTTAGTATTATGGTACACTGGCAACTGCAATTCCTCTGTCCTTTTTGTAACCAATAAATTCATTGTTAGATAACAAATAAACATGATTGTAAACATCTTTATCTTAGCAAAACTCAAAGGACATAGAAGATATATGTAATCCCATGACTAAGTGGCCTACTCCTGCCTTAAACACTATATAATAACCCTGCTATCAAATACAGATCTTGGGGACGATCCTTAGTCAAAACATGAAGCAAATTTATTGCAGCTAAAAATTTAGAGGGGTGGGGCTGGAGAGATGGCTCAACAGTTGAGTACTGACTGCTCTTGCAGAGGACCCAGGTTTGAATCCCAGAACTCACATGACAGCTGACAACCAACGGTAACTCCAGTTCCAGGGGATCTGATGCCTTCCTCTACCTCTGAGCGCATTACATGATATGGATGCACTTACACACATGCAGACATGCAGACAATACTCTCATACATATAAAATGAAAATGACAAGTAAAGTATTAAAAAATTTTAGAGATAGGGTGAGCTCTAGACACAGTATGATCATTATTCAATCAAGGCTACCTCATTAAATCTATAAGTAGAATGGTTTTATAAACAGTTTAATATTGCCAACTTTATTTCTCAAATGTTGATGTTTAAAACAAACAAAAACTTGTTAGTTTTTTGGGAAGCTTCTCAGCTCCGAATTTCATTCATTGCCAAAATTTATTTTCATTTCCTTTAAAGCCATTTTCTTTAATGAAACAGTAAAAATACTCCTATAGATTATATTTGATGAAAGGTATATATAAGGTATACATATATAATACATATGTATATATAATCTATCTGTATATATGATGACAGTCTTGAATCAAGGTGCTATTGAACACAAAGGTATCATTTCATATAAACAAACCTAATGATCATTTCGATTAAAAAAAAAAAAACATAGCTTGCCAAGTGTGGTGGCGCATGCCTTTTATCCCAGCACTCAGGAGACAGAGGCGGGGGATCTCTGTGAGTTCAAGGCCAGCCTGGTCTACATAGTG